ATCAATTGGAAGCGGGCAAGATGGTGATGAATTGCGATTGGTCTAAACCTTCGACCAGCGACTTATTGCGACCCGCCCAGAATGCCCATACATACTAAGACCTTGTTCACACAGCGAAGAAAAGCAGCCGAGTGGAAGGGGGCAGTCAGCTGGTTGCTTCTTGGCCACGCCCCCCTGCTTATAGATACGAGATACTTGATCTAAATTCTCAAATAGGAAATTGCATACCATTAGCCGATATACGTATAGGAACATGGGTACATGATATTGAATGTAATCCAGGTCAAGGCGCAAAGCTGGCTCGAGCCGCAGGAACTTTTGCTAAAATAATGAAGGAACCAGCACCCCCTACACTCTCTTAAAGGCTTGTGCCGCTACCTTCGGGTGTTGAAAAACTCATTGATTCCCGATGCCGAGCTACTATTGGTATAGTTTTCAATCCCAACCATGGTGCACGTAAGCTTAGAAAAGCTGGACAAAGCCGGTGGTTAGGCAGACGCCCCATTGTTCGTGGTGTTGCAATAAATCCAATGGATCATCCTCATGGGGAAAGTGAGGGGCGCACGAAAAGAGGTAGACCTTCGGTGTCACCTTGGGGGAAGCCCACCAAGGCTGGATTTCGGGCAGAAGGGAAGGCAGAAATGAGTTCATGCCACGATGATCTATATGGAAAGGCAGATTTGCTGATGCATTCCTGTTGAGAATGAAGAAGAGAGATCTTCTTTTGAACAGAAAATTTTCTCACTTATTAACTTCTGTTTTGCTGGAATTTGTTGATTGGCAAGCTTTGGCTACGGAGACTATTTTTATTTGCAGTGCTAAGTAAAAGATTGACTGAGAACTTTGAGTATGTAAGTACCCATAAACTTCTTATTGTTGCTTGATGCAGCAATTTCCAACAGGCCACCATTGTTTATTTCTGTTGAAAATGATTGTTGGTTTAGAATATGGCTGCTAACATTTGAAGATTCTATACCTGACCTGTGTAGTTGTTTGAGTTTCTGTTGAACTTGAATTAAAATAACTTTATCCGTTTATTGTGTTACATGTATCTTGAAAACATAATTAATTATTTTGAAGTAAGATAATCATCACACTTAAAGGGGAAAGGACTGCGCAAGTAATTTGGAGTTTAAAACTTGAAACTATTTAGCTAAGGAAGTCATTTTGGCTATGTGGGTTTTTGATGACTATTAAATATAGTATTGTCATCTGCCTAAATCACCTTATCATTTGTTTTCCTATTAACTGTCATATAGGGTTGAGTTGATGACCACTGGACTGTGATCTGGTTTTCATCTCCTGTCTTCTTCCCCTCTCCTTTCTAAAATCCTGGATAGTTTCTTGATCAAGATTAAACAACACGATTTGGTGTTACCCGTTTGGATATTATGAGGTGAGAATTTAGAGATTGAGGTGGTAGAAGATGGAATAAACTACATATATATGAAGTTTATTACTAGGTAACAATGTGTATCAGGAAAAATGGACTGGGGAATTTATGTTCAATAATAACTTGCTCTTTGCTGATGACCAACAGATGGCCTTGCAGCTTATAGGAAAAGATTCTGTTGCAGTTCGTAAACTTAATTATTATTGTGAAGCTGCCTTTGCTATTTTATGTTGAGAGAAAGAGAGCAGAGATGGAGGGAGAGAGTGAGCGAGCCAGGTGTACCCTTGAACTTCGTCATTGACCCTTAAATGGAGACAAGGCATGAATAGCCTATGCTTGTCCGTGATTTTGTCCAATTAAATCTATGTTACTAATTTTTTAGTTGAAAAAAGAGGTGTTACTTAATGGCATGTTGTAGTGTAAGTTGCATCATCAATCCTCACATAGGACATGGCACGAATTACCCCACGCTTATGCTGATCTTTATTCAATATGTCATCTCTCATTATCTTGCAGTAAGCCTGTCTGCTGAGTATTTTTTGTTTCTGATGATCATTTAACTTTCTTAGAACAAAGGATGACTTGATTTTAATAATACAAAATTCCATTGTTTTTACACACAGCGCACCGTCCAAACCAGCAGATTGCATAAGACTTGCTATTTCAATATTCTGCTAGTCTGACTCTCTATCCAAAAAGCATTTTCCCTTTCTCATTAAAAATTACATCATAGAGGTATTTTGTAATCATAGGAGGAGAATATAACAACTGTCACACTGTTTTTTGCAGCTACTTTACGTATGTGATGTATTTTATTCTGGTAAGGGAGCAGACCAGAATCTTCATTGGTGAGGAGTAGCAAGATAAGAAATGCCACATAGAGTGCTGCAACATTATACAATCATTTGGAATCAATTCAGTTTTCAACTGAGGGAAAGAGGCCGTCTTGTGAGAAAAAAAGTATATTTGATTAATTTAGGGCACTTATATCTGTTGAATAGAGTAGTCTTACAATTTGCAGAAATACAATTTGATGTATTTTTTTTTTTCTGCTCAGAGCCATCTTTGCAGAGACGCGCAAAGGAAAAGAGAGCATTGTAATATAAATTCTCTCAGTAAGTATTAAATTATCACTATGCACTGCAAAGTTGACTGCAATATTTAGTTTCTTGTTTCACATCTGTTGATTTCGTTGCCTTTCATGGTTCTTTGTTTTTGTCATGTCTATTATTTTTAAGGCTGTTATTCTAAGTTTCAGAACTACCCGACGACAACTCTCTGCTTTAGTGTAAAATATAATTCAAACAGCTCTTCGAGTTATAAATTGAACCTTCTAATGATTGTTTCTTCTTAATGAACTTCCCTCTATATATTGAAGGGTAAATTACACTTTAACCCCTGAATTATTATCCTTATTTCACCTTGTACCCTTAATTATAAAATTTTTCACATTGCACCTTAAAGTATTAATTTTTTTTTCATATCATTCTAATAATGGAAAATGACAAACTTGAAAATCTATGAAATGAGAGAAGGAAATCTAAAAGAGATTTCATGCAAGTGGCTAGCAATTACTACTTTATTTTACTTCTTTTGCAACCAAAATGGTTGTTGGGAAGAAAAAGAAGGTTGGCGAGAGAAAGAATATTTGAAGTTTAAGAAGGATAAAGTCATGGATATTTATTTTTCTTGATTTTTGACATACACATATATAATAGGTAGTTGCTTATTGACAGTAAAAACAACTCACGTATGCATTTACCATCAAAAAAGTGACATTCGATATCAATTGGAGTGATATGAAACAAAATTGATGCTTTAGGGTGTAATACGAGAAATTTTATAGTTGAGGGTACAAAATAAAGTAAGGTAATAGTTCAAGGGGGTAAAGTGTAATTTACCCTATTCAACTAAAATAACTCTCACCCCATAGAAGCCAGAATCTTAGACTACTTCAATGTTTGAACTTCCTTCTCTAGATGCTAAATGTTGAGCAAAAGTCACATTGAATTAGTTACAAATAACTCTGGTTCCCTTCCCCCACCCCACCAAAAAATTAGCATATGTAAATAGATGTATGAATGAGTATACTTCCCACCTGAGTAAAAAGTCTCTCTCTCGAAAACGACCGAATACTACTACAGATGCATTTCATGTATGCTTTTCTCGGATCTCGCCAATAATTATCTCTTTCTGATTTATCCTCCAATTATTGTACTGATGGCTAGAAACTTGCACCTTACATTCTATTTTCAGAGCTCGAGGAACTAAATTACCGCTATACTTCAGGGGAATGATGTCCTAACAAACTTCAGGAGGGCAGGCAGTCATCAAGGATGGAAATGATCACAAAACCGAGTGACACGAAATTATATCTAGCATAATTTGTAAGGTTACATGGTGTATGTAGATATATTTATATATATTTATCGTATTGATGAATAGTCATTTTTGCCTTGTCAACTCATCACGAAAACCCTTTTCATAATAGTATTGAATAATGTGAATCATAATCTCAATGTGTGTGTGTGTGTGTGTGAATGTTTGATAAAAGTCTGAAATTTTATGAACTGATGATGCACGAGATCAATAAAGAACTAAAACAAATCTTCTAAAGCTATTATGTTGAACTTTTACTGTTGGTTGGTAGCCTTATTTATACAGTGGATGAAGCATGCATTATTGGGCGGAAAAAAAGGTGCAACAGGCAGAGAGATGTTTTTCATTGTCTTTCTCAAATTACTGTGTTGTTTTTTTGAATAGTTTTTCCCAATCTAATGTGATTTCTATTTATTTTTGAGTCTACGGTTTTTTTCTTGAAAACATAATACGAGCCCCCCACGCTTTGTCAATGTAAAAATATGTTTGTTTAATAAAAATATTTTGAAAATGTATTTTGTAAACACTGCTTTTGCATTGAAAAGTTTGAGGTCAAACGACTACTCTTTCATCAAAACAATACTCCCTCTATTTCTTAATATTTGTCGTTTAAGGTTTTTGTACAGGAATTAAAAAGGTTATTAAATAATTCTAATATGAGTAAAAAATAATTGCACAAGACTAAAATACTCTTATTCAATACGTATTGGAAGGAAAAGAATATGAAAAGCACTTAGCCTGCACTAAATCTAATGCATTGAAAAGTTAATAGTAAATTTAGAAGAAAAAATATTAATTATGCTTTGGTTTCATTAAACGACAGATATTATGGAACAAAAAAAATTGTGTAAAACGACAAATATTTATGAACAAATAAAGTAATAGATTGGGACCTAAATTATAAATCACAGAATAGGGAAATAAAGTAACAACACAAAACTAATTTGGTAAAAAAAATAAAAATTCTTGTTCTTCACAATTACTTGAAGGACCATCTTCTTCTTTTTCTTCTACTTCTTCTTCTCTCTCTCTCTCATAAACTTCTGATTGAATTGAGAAACTTAAAGAGAGAGTGTACAACCCTAACATAGTTCAAGTGATAACAGAAACGAGCTGTAAACTCAGATGTCTTGAGTTCGGCATAAATAACCTGCCTTTGACCAGATATTAAAGGGAACTAGTCGAGGTATGCACAACTTGGCTTGAACACTCCTAATCATTAAACAAAAAGAAAAAGAGAAAGTGTACACACTTTAGGTTTGAATTGCACAATCTCCATTATGGTTAAATATGAAACAAATCAATGCCTTTGCAAGTTTGAACATAGACTCTCAAGGACACTTAAAAAAAAAAAACCACGATTGATGTTAGATGAATTTTTTTTCTATGGCTGCAATATAGTAATAATTGAGATTGTCAAACAAAGCAATCCCATTTTGGCACGTGTTATAAAAAAAATGACTTGGTCTCTTACACATCTACATTAGTCTAATCGCAACTAGGATCATAATGCAAGTGGAAATGCTTAGACTATTCAAGATTACTTGTGACAGAAGCTTTGTTAATTCTTCACAGACAAATGGGAATTTGGGTTGACATAACAATATTTGTTTTATTCATCTTAGAAGTTTCTTAATGTTGTGATTGGAAACATCATAAGCAATATCTTTTCGATGTTTTTCTTATGCTCCCACCATGATTAATGGTTTGGTTTCCGATCTTTTAATTTCTTCTTCTTCTACGCTGCGGAGGCATTATTGCTTGGTTTGCGACAATGATTGATAAATCATTGCAACTTATACTAATCAATGGTATATTATCATGATCTTGCTTGAAAATTCGTTAGGCTCACAAAGAAAGAAAGGCATATTTGACTACATACGATCAGAAGATTATTGGATGATGACAGTTGAACTTTGTAATTTTTAGTGGTTGGGATTCTGCAGATGAAATGTGAACCGTCAAGGTGGTATGGTGAGAAGCACGAGCTTTTATATTGTTATTTAGATCTTGAGAGTTGAAAGAAACTACATCAAAAAGTTGTTGAATCATAGGAGAACATTCTGCCTTGATCTGAGAAAATGTTTGGCTAGTATAATGCATTTACTTACTAACACTAGGGTTGATAATTTTTAACATGACCCGTCAACTTCACACGAAGTTATCGAATATAGATTTATTCTTAGCACAGAGTCATAAACGGGTTGACTAGAAAAACCCGTTTGGTGAAAAAGTTGATATGAATTCCGAAAAACACACTATGAACCCTATTATACATGATTATCTATTGATCAATGATGGGTAAAACAAATTTTAACACGACACAACTTACATAAGTGACAAATCCGTCACACAACACAACTCAACATCCCTATTGCAGACCAATTCAATGCCTAAATTCTACCATTTACTGTCCAAGGCTAGGTGTAGTACTTGGTCAAACCAAGTTGAAAAGTGTTGATCTAACTTGCTGGAATGAGCATCTGCCCACACCACATATGTATCACACCAGTGTTAGTAAGTCTTTTTTCCTCGAAAGGCACCACTAGTTTTAAAGTCATTTGGTAAGAAAGTGAGAGTGTTTTGTGAAGTACTGAATGCCACTTGCTGCATATCAAATGAACATCAGCTGATGTTATCCAAAAATTCTAACTGCTGGACCTGTCAATTGTTGATTTAACAGTTCGGTTTGTATGAGGAAAAGTCTATGACCTCAGGCTTTTTTATCATGAATTATATTTCTCTAGTGGCCCTTATCATATGATTTCCTTACAGCTACAGCAGAAAACATGCATAGAAGTCACTGTTCATGAAATTTGCCCTCCTTTCAAGTTTTAGCCTCTAAATTTTAGTCCCTTGAAGATCTCATATGATCAACAATCGATGATAAGAGAAATAAATGATAATGTGGTATTACCGTTCTATTGATAAGTTACTACCTTTAAAGTCTCATATAGTGTGCATGTCTGTGCGAAGTTTCATTAGACAGATGGTTATAATATATTTGATGACAACCCTATTTGAGCTCTAAAGGTAACTAGCAGTCCGGAGACACAATTTTCTCTCATATATGAAAAAAATTATTTTTGTTATTTGAACTGTAATGCTCAAATATCCCAGGTTTGTATGAAACTAGCAGAGAAGATACACACTATATCTTGAAATTATTCACAAAACGTAAGAACATTTTCTGCTTCACAATCAAAATTTTGATCATCTATGCCACCGCGAAGTCCCGGACAAGACTTTTTGACACTGGATTGTACGGATGTTGTCTCTGAATCAGTAAAAGTTGGTGGCCTCATCCATTGAATTTCTAGTGGTGTTGCTGCTGTTATTGTAACTTTAAAGCCTGCTTCATGACATAACACGAGAGATATTTCATAGGAGAAGACCGCCTGCCCTTGGTGGTCCTGAGGGCTTCAAAAACTTCTATGAAGGTGACACCTAATAGTAATACTTAATAGTTATATCACAAAGTCAATCACATATAACCTGTTTTCAATACTCTAAAAGTTCACACTGCATAGAAAAAAGAGAAAAAAGTATAGTCCAATAACTTTGATTATTGACATTCTTATATTTTCGATGATGTTCTTACATGTTACAACCAAGAACTCGTCCGCTCTTCATTTTATAATATCTTGTTCTTTTTCTTTTTCTGGTGGAAGAACAGTTCATTTGATTTATAGTTTTTGTCATTTAGAAAGAGTAAACTACAACTAATCTTCCCTTTAAATTCCAAAGCATCTGGGGTGGGCTGTCCATAACTTCTTCTCTCTCTCTCTCTCCACACACACAGTTCATAGCTCTTAAGGACATATGTTCATTAGGGTGGCTAATATCTGAGGCTACATTTCTTTTTAAGTCCTCTTGAATAATTCTTTTGGGCAAAATGGGTTGTAAGCCATTGGAGAAGCCAAAGCAGAAGCACAGGAAGGGCTTATGGTCACCAGATGAAGACCTAAAACTTAGAAATTACATTGTCAAGCATGGCCATGGCTGCTGGAGCTCTGTGCCCATCAACGCCGGTGAGTTAACTTCCATATTATCCCGCTTAAGGGCATTGTACATATCATATTGGTGCCATGAATGATAGATGTGTTTTGTAGTGTTTGCAATGTGAATAGGGTTGTGTGTTTTCCATTTCAATGAAATGTATTGAGACTAGATTAATATGACTTAAAGCATTGGTAATTTGCTTTTAAACATAAGAAACTTCATGGATGAATACCATCAAATGGTATTTCAAAAAGCCGGGCTAACCATGATGTATTTTCATTCTAATCATGTCTTTGGATGTGTGGATATCCTGTATTGACTCAAATAACTACTGAAACCTGGTCAACTGAAATCCCAAACTATATTCCTATTGATTTTAAGTTTAGGGAGTAATAGGGCGGCTGCTTAGAGTCAACGACAATAAAATTTTGTTGCAATTCTGGGATATGCAAGTATACATGATGGATGATGATGACATTTTGACTGAAATAACCTTGTAGTTTACTTTTATGGTGTATTTTTTGGGCTGTGATTTTATGGTCTTCTTGTTAAAACACATGCAGGTTTGCAAAGAAATGGAAAGAGTTGCAGACTGCGGTGGATTAATTATCTAAGGCCAGGACTAAAGAGAGGGACGTTTACCATTCAAGAAGAGGAGACAACCCTGACCCTTCATGGCATGTTAGGCAACAAGTAAGCAACTTTGGTGCACTTAGACCTTATATGGAATCTCATTGTAATCAAACCATTAAACTTCCAGATGGTGGGCCCACCACTGTCTCAGAGGGCCTTTAAGGTTGACTTAGGTAGCATCTGAGTCATTTGACATTAGTACATGTTAATTAACCTGACTAGATGTACAGTAGGTAACTGGGTTGTTAAACAACAATCTATTCCAAAAGTTTAAGTAGTTAGAAAATATATAACTTAAATATTTATATTTTACCACGGGCCAACCTGTGCATACTCTGGATAGCTTGAGAGTTGATCATAAATTTAGTTACTTGCAATTCAAAAGCCATCAAACAACTCAAGACAATTGTGAGGTTAATAACTTGGTGATCAAACCTTAATGAATCGTCGAGAAAACCTTTTACAAGGATTCAATCAATAATTTTCCTGTTGAATTTTAAATCGAAAAAACCAAGAACATTATTGCAAATAGTCGACCAGCACAAGGCACTCATGAAGTAAATGTTTTTATATTGGTCAGGTGGTCTCAGATAGCACAGCATTTGCCTGGAAGAACTGATAATGAAATAAAGAACTATTGGCATTCTTATCTGAAGAAAAAAGTGGCAAAAGCCGAAGAGATTGAAACTCAGAATGAATGTAGACACACAAGTCCAAACATGGAAGACATGAACAGTTCAGTTTTTTCCCTGAATTCAACCATCAGAAATCCAAGTCTGGAATCATTTGAACATATGGAAGGATCATCAACAAATACAGATCAATCTGTATCACAGTTTTTTGACTTTCCAAAAGAATCTCGCCAAAGCAGTTTACCAAAGCTAATGTTTGCCGAGTGGTTGTCAATGGATGAATTTCATAGCCAGGAGTCCGTTAATTCAAGCAATCGAGCAGTTTCAAAGGATAATCTTAACTATGATTTACAGTTCCATAATTCTTTTACGTATGGTTCATTGCAAGATGAAGTGACGTTCTGCAGCGACGTAAACCAAGGGATAAGCAGTGGTTCTGTTGATGATATGTTTCATCCACAACTGAAATTCGAGGATCAGATTTCAGAAAGCGGTTTCTTTGATTTAATCTCAGGGGATTTTGAAATGAACAATGATGTAATGTACATATGAATTTTGGATTACACTATTGAGTAACCACATTGACTGGTGAAACAGGCCATGAAGAATCGTTTGATGTAAATTCACAAATGTTCCTTCAATAAAAGAAAAAATCATTTGATGGTTTCATGGGATGAATCATTTGATGTAGATCATCAGAAATCATAGAAGATCAATTAGTCATTATTGTTCCCACTTCCCAGGAAGTTGCCTTCAAGAACTCTCTTTTTTCTTTATATGCATGGGTCAAATGCATGGTCTCTGTAATGGTTTGTGTTAGAGTATTTGTGGCTCATATTTGTTGTGTGCATAATGGCAAGGAGGCAGATGCCGGAACGAAATTTATATAAAGGGGACACTGATTAGTTGGGGGTGCGGGGGCAACGCTCCCGCGGTACGGTACAGGGGTATTTTTATAAATACGTCCACATTAGGGTTATATAAATACTTAAGATGTAACCCTATTCTATAATGGAAAAGAACGGCCGCTCGCTCTCGTGGATGTAGGCACATTGTCGAACCACGTAAATCTCTGTGTGTTATTTTCTCCTGCTTTCTTAATTGTTTGATTCCTTACTATTCACCATAATTGCTGCACGATCACAACAGTTTGCTAGTTTTTAAGGAAGCAATTCTCCTTTATTGAATTGATTGTAACACTTATTGTAAGAAATTGGAGATAAGAAGGTAGAAAATCACAGAAAAGGGGGTTTACACAAATAAAGTCTTAATGCTCAGCTAGAGACAGCTGACTCTTGATGAAAGCAGCGAGCCGTAACTTAATAAGAACTTGAATAGTGAAGATTCAGTAAGTTTAAAGTAAAGGAACTGATTTCCAAATTTTACAGCCTCCATAAAATTTACCACTTTAATATAATAGTTTTTATTTTATTTTATTTTTTGTATTATAGATATGATTCAAATTTTTAGGGCTCAAATTTTAATAGTTCAAATCAATATCTAATTTTTTTTGGTCCAAAATTACTTCTTCTTGTGAGTTTTGATTTAAATTTTTCTAAATATTTTGGGTGTGTTCATAGTTGTATTTCACTCACTCACTCACAGAAAATTTATATTAACTATTTATCGTGGTGAAAATCTATTTGGTTCCATTTTTGTCTTTTTATAAATTTTCAGTCTAAATAATTTTATACTTAAATTGTCTATGTTATTAAAGTTTTGAACTTCATGCGTGCACATTACTCATGGGTAAAGAATGATTATTTGTTATATTAAAATCATTCTTTGCTCACATATTCTATTATTAAATTACTTGTTGAAAATTTAATTTGATGAAATTTTATTTACAATAAACTAAGAGTGAATAAATTAACAATATTATCAATTAAAAAAAATTATTGTCAAAACTTGAGTATAAAAACTTGATCAATATTTTAAATTTTTAAATAAAAAATAATTTTTTAAAACATAAAAAATTTATAATAATTAAAATATAAAATATTGCAATAGACAAAATATTTTGGTTAGGGCCCGCTTGACATTGGGCCGCCCCTGGATGTGTGGTTGGGTTTTTATGGGAGGGGTTGGATTGTTGTAATAGTCAACCTAACCACAAGTTTCTCCAGGTCCACTCAGATGCATAAAGAGCCGTTGGCTCCGGTGGACAATCTATCTCTGTCCTGAGATTAAAGCGTGGTCCATAGTTCTTAAATCGCGATTCATATATCGTGAACGATAATATTAAATTTGAGAATTGTGAATTGTAAGATTCGATATAAAATTTAAACAAAAATAATAAAAAATATTATATATTTAAAATATACAAAATATTGAATATTGAACTTGACATAATCACGTCGTCTAAATAGAAAGACGCTAGCCTTTTACTTCATTTTTATTTTTTGCTTAATCATTTTCAAATTCAACAACTTGAAAAAAATTTTTATTAAAGAACCATGACTATTTAAGAACCAAAATAGTGACATCCGATATAGATTAGGTTACAAACATGATTGAAAAAAGAACAAATAAGAAAATTGATTGGAATAAAACATTCAAGCCAGCGAGAGCGTTAGCCATAACCTTTAGTTTTAGAAAACGCAAGACGAGCTGTAGATGACGTCAGAGAGAGAACGAGTGAAGATGTTGAGTTTTTATTAGGACGTGAGTTTCTCTGCAAACAAAACGCTGTCATTTTACTGTTTAGAGGACAAAACGACGGCGTTTTGTCAAAAATTTTGATTTAAAAAAAAAGTGATTAAATCGTGCTATACAAATCGAATCGTACGAATCATACGATTTAGGTATGATTCAACTCTAAAACGATTCTCAAATAAAATACTGATCGTTTTGTACTTGCATCAAACCGAATCGAATCGTGAATCATAATAATTGTGGCGTGATCCTTCCGGTCAGAGGAAGGTCCAACTGCTTGGCATACTCGGTAACGAGTAATTCAGTGCTCTATTTTATCTCTCCCACTTCCTTTTCAGTTGCTGAAATGGAATAAGAGCATGGGATGTTCATGTTTGATATGCAACCTTTGTCACATACAGCATCTTCTTGCGTACTATTTGCCTCTTGACATCAGAAGTTGAACGAAGACTAAAGTGTCTTTTTTGCAGTCTATGTAGAACTAGTGTATTCAATATCATGTTTTTGTGTGTTATAATTTACGTCCTTCTCCGGGTGAAGTGATTAATTTTTTGTGCATTTGAGCACTTTTGGTTGGTTGCACATCCTAAGTTCTTGAGTTTTTCAGGTGCGCTGCCATAACCTAACATTTACCAGGAAGAACGGATGATGAAATAGAGGACTTCAATCAATGGGCCTTTAATTCGACAGTCCTTCTTGACTTGTGAAGGTTTTGCGTTCAAGACCCCTTCCCCCTCTCTCCCCCCTCCCCCAAAAACAAAAAAACAAAAAAAAAGAAAAAAGATAGAGGACTTCGGGAACTCTCATCTAAAGAAGTGCTTCCTCAATGAAGGTCTGAAGTTCCAGATTCATGGGCCATCCTCTGATACTTGATCAGTGGACATGAAATCCGAGTCCCCATCTGTAAAAATAAAAATTAAGTTTTTAAAACTTTTTAATTATGTTTAAATTATGAATTTCAGTTATAGTTCTTTTTCCCTATTTAGTGTATATATTAAAGAATAATAATTATTATTAGTTTTATAGGTATTCAAGGCAAACAATGAAAAATAATAAAAATCAGTTACACGTTACAGGCAAAGGGCCAAAGCCAAACAGTCAAATATTTAAAGTGGTTTTTGAAAGCCATGGGTTATACAGCGGCTATATAAAGGTGGAATTGAGAAATTTTTTTAGTAGTGTACGAAATCAACACTTCCTATTGTTCAGTAGACTTTCCAATAGCTCAGATCATTCTTTTACACTTTGGCCTATTTTCCAATTCCTTCCTTTATACTTTGGCCTACTTTTCAATTATCATTTATTTCATTTTGGACAACTCGATTCGAGTTAGGTTCATTCCAACTTTCCAGTGGACGTGACCATTGAGAAGGTGCTGCTGTGAGCGTCTGGGTTGGATCTTGGAGTCGCTGGTGTCCGTTAGTACCCTCACGTGGAGAGGCTCAACTGCTTTAAGCCAGTGATCACATGCCTCTCGGATTCGCAGACCAGCTCATTCCAAATTAATTTATTTAGTTTATACAAATTGCATGTTTATACATTTTATGTGTTTATTTAGATTGCATGTTATATGATCTAATTATTGTTTGCATGCTTTATTTCGAATTATAACACTTAAAATTATTTTGCTCATATCAAAATTCTAATATTTGTTGATTTGAGCAAAAATTCAGTAGCAATATTTCTTAATTCTAATTATAAATCTGTGTTTAAAATCTATAATTATTTTTACAGTCTAAAGCAGCTGAATTTATTTGTTGTTAAAAAAAATAAAAATAAATAAAAGACGTTTTTTTTTGTTTTAAACAGTTTTCTGTGTTACTGTTTTTCTATAAAAAAAAAACTATTACTGTTTTTCTGGAAAAAAAAAACTGTTTCTGTTTTTTGGAAAAAAAAATAGTTTCTGGAATTTTTTTTTTTAAAAAACAGTAGCTACTTGCTTAAATAAAAAAAAAATATATATAGCTACTTGCTTTCAAAAAATAAAATTAAAATTTCAAGAGCTATTACAATAATTTAAACACCTTTCTTAATTTCGTTACAAATAAAGTTTTGACATCTGACATTTAAATTAAATACAGGTTATTTGCTTATCTCTTATTATTTCTTTGCCCTTGAATTCTAAATTAAAGATGACTAGACTAGAAGAAGCTAATAGTGTCAAACCCGAAAAATTTAGTGGTCAAAATTTTCGTAGATGACAAAAACAAGTTCGATATTGGTTAACCGTACTAGGCTTAATTTATGCTATAGAAAAGCCTCCAGCTGGTCAAGAATTATTTTCATGGTATACCCCCGAACAAATTGAATATCACTGTCATAATAGGATTCTTAGTACTCTTTCTGACCATTTTTATGATGTCTACCATAATACTACAATAACCGCCAAAGAACTTTGGAACACTTTAGAGGCCGAGTATGAAATTGTTGATGTTGGAATTAAACGGTTTATGATCTCTAATTTTAATAGTTATAAAATGGTGGAGAATAAACCTGTTGGTGATCAAATTCATGAATATCAAGAATTTTTGAGGAAAATTGAAAAGGGTGAAACTACGTTTAGTGAAGATTTTAAAGTTTCAAGTTTAATTGACAAACTTTCACCTTCTTGGGATAATTTTGCTAAGACCCTTAGGCATAAACAAGGAGAGTTAACCTTAACCCAAACTATAAACGCTCTTAGGGTTGAAGAGAAGCATAGAGTTAGTACAAACTCACAAAATGAGAGACCCCCTAAAGTAAACTTAGTGGAAAATAGTAACAACCATAACAATTTTCGACTTAGGGGAAGAAATTTTAAGAATAAGAGGTTTAATGGTCGTTCTAATAATGGTCAAAAACAAAACTATCAAAATAATAATAATTACAAGAATAATAAGTTCAAGGGCTTAGGAAGA